GACACAACAAACAACAGTGAGGAATAACTACACTAGTATTTTTTCAGTCCTCAAATCAGTGCTTTTCAATGTACCATCCAAGTGAATGATCCATTTAGTCATGAACAGTGGTCACAATGTGCTGGCGTACATTTTTTTCATACTGCATTAAAACAACAGTTAATACAGAATAACTTCCATTTTACTATTTAAAGTTGCATTGTTTGGAACCCAAAGCCAAAATATGTGCAACTGTACCAACAGAATATTTAATTTACATATTTCAATAATATATTACAATTATTTAAAACTACTGCTACAAATACCCATGTTCACAGAGTAAAAGCCTTTCAAAACTATTTTAACCTGTGCAGCTTTTAAAATTGCAGCACCCACAGCACAGTGTGTTTACCAGACATTATCCACGTTACTTTCTAGGGTGACACCGCCGTGATATTCAGCAGATCAGCGGTTTAATACAAACAGACACATACATACGCTAATGTGGCGCTCCTTTTGTATACCGCTTTTCTTGCACCGCTGGGGGTTAAGACTATGTATTTCACACCTACAATGTGGGAAAAAAACATTAGTAATTGTGTAGTATGAATAAATAAGATTAAAAAAATTAATAAATGTGGCTCTTAGTTAAAAATTAAATTTCTTATAATAGAAATACGATACATTGATGTGTAAAGACACGAAACGATCGGTCTGTGCAAGAAACTGAACAGTATTTATATAGTTTTTTAACCTCTGATTTACTGCAATGTCCAAACTGTCCCGAGCGCGTCTGCGTCTTCTTCTGCCGGCGCGTGACGCGTCTTCTTGCTTTACAGCAGATCTCAGACTTATAAGTGCATTACCACCACCTATCTCTCAAATGGACCATTGACACTCCTAATTGAGATTGTAGATAGAGTGTCAATGGTCCATTTGAGATATAGGTGGTGGTAATGCACTTATAAGTCTGTGATCCGCCGTAAAGCAAGACGACGACGACGACGACGCGTCACGCGCCGGCTGAAGACGACGCAAACGCGCTCAGGACAGTTCGGACGTTGCAGTAAATCAGAGGTAAAAAACGATATAAATACGGTTCAGTTTCTTGCACAGACCGATCATTTCGTGTCTTTACGCATCAATGTATCGTATTTCTATTAGAAATATGTTTCAACAATTATAAGTTGTCCGCCATATTGGAAGGGTCAACTTGAGGTAGGGCTGCACGATTAATCGAAATTAAATCGCAAAGGCGAAATCGCGACTAGGCAGAAGCTGCGATTGTCATGTGTATCTTTTAGTGAAGCACGGTTCTGTGATCAGCAGTAAATCTCCATCTGAAGGCCAGAGGGCGCTCTCACACGGAAAATCCAAATACGCCTTGCAGAAGAAACCCAGGAAATCCCTATAGCGGTTGCTGAATAAACAGAAGATTTAACTGCTTTCATTAATTCAACGTGACTAATAAACACATGACGACAACAATATATGGTTTATCAGAGTTCATATTATTATAATAAAGTATATAAGTGTTTATTATGCGACATAGTATTCTAGGCTGTGATAAAGGCTATGAAATATGTTGCGTGCCTTATTCTGTGTAAGAAGCCACATCATCTCACAGAAGGATTTATTTCAAACACTCGACTGACGTTATGAAGTGAGTTTGGAGTAAAAACATGGTATTAAATGTGGTATTTTCACGCGTGACGCGTCTTCTTGCTTTACAGCAGATCTCAGACTTATAAGTGCATTACCACCACCTATCTCTCAAATGGACCATTGACACTCCTAATTGAGATTGTAGATAGAGTGTCAATGGTCCATTTGAGATATAGGTGGTGGTAATGCACTTATAAGTCTGTGATCCGCCGTAAAGCAAGACGACGACGACGACGCGTCACGCGCCGGCTGAAGACGACGCAAACGCGCTCAGGACAGTTCGGACGTTGCAGTAAATCAGAGGTAAAAAAACGATATAAATACGGTTCAGTTTCTTGCACAGACCGATCATTTCGTGTCTTTACGCATCAATGTATCGTATTTCTATTAGAAATATGTTTCAACAATTATAAGTTGTCCGCCATATTGGAAGGGTCAACTTGAGGTAGGGCTGCACGATTAATCGAAATTAAATCGCAAAGGCGAAATCGCGACTAGGCAGAAGCTGCGATTGTCATGTGTATCTTTTAGTGAAGCACGGTTCTGTGATCAGCAGTAAATCTCCATCTGAAGGCCAGAGGGCGCTCTCACACGGAAAATCCAAATACGCCTTGCAGAAGAAACCCAGGAAATCCCTATAGCGGTTGCTGAATAAACAGAAGATTTAACTGCTTTCATTAATTCAACGTGACTAATAAACACATGACGACAACAATATATGGTTTATCAGAGTTCAT